GAGAGATGCATGCACCCGGATGTTGATCCCTGAAGTCAGAACCTCAAGCCTGAACCCAAACCCCAGGAGCAAGCCGGGTCACCACCAACTTGCCATCCACATTCTCGGTCAACCTGAGGGAAGGTAGGGTTGCAGAGTGTAGGTGGCAACCCTCATATCTTTGCGGCTATGGCGCGTCTTGATGAGCAGGTTCACTTTGTGAAGGCTTCGAAGTTGGGAACACGTGGCAGTAAGTTGGCATGGTTGGGGATTCAGAATCTTACTGCAAGCCAGGGATTGAAGAGTGTCGGGGTGAAGGCAGCAAATGCACGCCGTGTATGTGGTGGAGGACCCATCACACTGACATGTTTTGATCGTTCACATCAGCCGGCAACCTCATTCAACATTCACGACGCACTTGTTTCCATCAGAAAGTTTCGGTGTTCGGCCTATGGCCTACAGCTCCAACCGAACCCACTGCCAGGGCACAGAAGTGTCGCCATGAACCCAACCATCTGCCGCACTGTCAAAGGCCTCCCGGCGAACTAGCTTCGTCGATTAGGTCGCATCGATGGCGGTGGCGCTTCCGAGAATGACTGGTGCCTAGCATCTGCAACGAAAACCCTCGAAGCTCCGACCCGGTGGGTTATGCTAACACCCCACCTACCACGCTGCGTCTCGAGCCTCAAGAACCCACGGCTCGACCCTTAATGCTTAGCTTGGCCTTCCACATTCAACACAACAGCTCGCACATGATTTGGCCCTCTGCGCCTGACATCTGCCGACCTTGGACAACCAGCCTCCCAATTGCTCAAGTCATCTTGTTGGCTTCGGAGCTTCGGAGTGGTGATTGATGGAACGCACTCTGGGGTGCCTAAATGATCTGCAAGGGGTGTCGGTCGGTGTGGATTGCACTGCACGCGGATTTGAAACATAAATCAGTGGCACTGCTAGATGCTGGTGGCCTTGTACTAGCAGGGATGATGCTCTGAAGAGAATGCTCATCGTGCGAAGCAGATATGAATGAAGTTCTGCCTGAAACAAGAGTTTCTGAACCTTGGCAGGTTTTAACTAGTTCAAGGTCGGTTAGGGTTTCAGTGATGCTCAATCCAAACATTTCCTGACGCGCCTAAGAGCCTGGACACGGGGCTCCTGCAGAACCCACGAAAAGACCGAGCCGAAGATGGCGTTCCGACCTGCAGCCTGCTGCTGCGGCCAGTAAAAGGCGGCCAAGTTGAGCCTTGTCGTGTAGGCTTCGGCTTCAGCTTTCAGACGCCGAGCGCCAACCGCAACCGCTACCACCACAATTTCCAGGACAGAACTGGCTCACCGAATCGTCCTTTCGTGGCATGTTCTGTCTTGTAAATACGACCGTTGCTTCGAGCATAGCTTGATGCATGGCAAATCGGCTTCAGTGTTCCAAGTTCCGAATGCTTTTTTGTCTGCAGCTCTGCGGCTTGATCCCGCCGCAAAGCGAGAACTCATTGGCCAGGGCGCGGCCCTTGGTGTGGAGCGCCTCACCTCTGAGCTCTGAGGATGAAATCAAAAGAGAGCTTCAAGGGTTGGAGCTCTGTAACTCCAGGGCGATCATTCATGTGGACATGGAGACTTGGATACTCACGGCTTGCAACTATATTCAGGAGTAGAGTTCGAGCTGTTCGGCATAATTGGGTGCCTGAGAGAAAACATTCAACGTTGGGTCCGACGTTCGGTTGCAGATGCAGAGGTTGCGGGCAGCGACGCTTTACCTTCGGGAGCAGCCGCTCCCGTCCCCGAAACGCACAACTCGTAAACAAGTCCAACGGCCAGCTGCGGCTGCATACATGATACGGAGAAGCAAGCACCTGCAAGTTCTCCACTGCACGTCCACGGGCAGAAGACCGGCAGCAACGCAAACAAAGAGTAGCGAAGTCGAGTTCGACTTGCCTGCACTTTTCTGAGGCTTCAGCAGCCCATGTGCACGCTCAGCAGGGCTGATGCGTCCTCTCACACACACACACAGAGAAGAGCTTGGATGGATTAGATCTCGGCCATATGGCTTCACACCCAGAATCCGGCACCAAGGTCACGCCCCGAACGAAGCCCCTGGCAACAACAAGAGTTCAAGCGACGGAACATCTAGATGTCAGCTTGGGGCCAGATTGGCAAATGAATCCTGCGTGTGACAAACGTGCATACCCAGCCACAGGTCGAGAAGCAAACAAAGAGGCGAAGGCTACAATATGTCATATGTCAAACTGCAAGACCTACTGCAACAAATCCTGACATCTTCTCTAAACCAACACAGCAAGCTGCCGTGACAGCGCACGTCTTCCCAACATTCATAACTCCAAGATGCCAAACCCCAACTATAGAAGGCTCCCCGTGATGATGCGTGATCCTCTGCATCCACAGCGATGCTCGGGCCCTTCATGCCCAGAACAAAGCTAAACCTGACGGTGAGGGGAAGACGGTTTGTGTTGGCAACCGTCGGAAGTATTGGGCTTGGAGTTGTGGCTTAAGGAACATCCATCAGCCGTGCTTGAAGATGCATAACAAACACAGCATGCAGGACTTGTAGTGCCTGCTTTCTCGTCGCATCTCGGGAATCGGCAGACCCTCCATCATCAACCCGCAAAGCGTGGCTGACACCCCAGCTCTTGCCCATCCGCATAGTTCGCATGAAATGTCTATTTCTAAACCAGCTGGACATATGCAATATCGGCATCAAGAAGTGGAATTGGTCGTTGGTGTGTTGATCGTCTTGACGGCTAAGTATGCGCGCACCGCCCGTGGAGAAAGGCTTCTCTCAAAGTTGTTGGTATTGGTCTTCCGAAAGTCGAGTCACAATCATCATAGACGTAACACTGGTTCACGTGTCGCTGCTGACTTACCAGTCTTATGCTAAATCTGTTTTTACTCGTGACAGTGTAGTGGTCAAAGCACTCACAGTAGTAGTGGTAGTGGTGGTAGTAGTAGTCGTCGTCGTCGTCGTCGTCGTAGTAGTAGTAGTAGTAGTAGTAGTAGTTGTTGTTGTTGTTGTTGTTGTGGTTGTTGTTGTTGTTGTTGTAGTCATCGTGGTCGTCGTGGTCGTCGTCGTGGTCGTGCTGGGGTGCTGGTGGTGCTGCTACAACAGTAGCAATGCAGACGAGGCACCGATTCGCGGTGATCGCCGCAGAACCGCCGGTGGCTCCGAAGGAGCCCTGTCACTTCCAGAGCTACCGAATTCTGGGTGGCGGGTTTGGGCCCGACTTTGGGCGCCTACGGTTCCTTTCAGCCTGACATTGTAGAATTTAGCGGAAACAAAGCGCCGTAGTGCTTTGGGAATGTTGGTTTAGGGATTGAGGCCAACCTCTGAATGCAGACGTTAGGATTGGGGGTGCGAGCAGGCTGTAGCAAGCTTGCTTGAGGCCTTCAGGATGCATGATGTTGGGTCGCATTCCAATCCTCGGAATCCCAATTCAGGGACCCGAAATCTTGAAAGTTAAACCCACACCTGAAGTCTCAAGCCTGTACGGCCTGAAGGTCATGACGCCGCGCCTCTGCGGAACCGTCCGTAGTGCGCTCGACGTGGCCTGGCTGCTTGAAACCCAAGCCGGGAACGCAAAGACCTGTCGCTGAAAATACAGTATTGAGTACCTCACATCACTAATACCTTGATTCGCAAAGCCACTGAGTCACTGCTGCTTCCGGCCGAGTAGCTAAAAGTCCTTGACCGGAATGCTTCACTCCTAAGTCTCCCTTTACATTCGGTTGAGCCGAAGCTGAACCGTCAGTTTTGAGCCAGGATGCCAAAGTCAGAGTTGCCAGTGCCGTAGCCAAGATACCTTAGCAGTACCGCCAGGTCGTGAGGGCAGGAGAAAGAGCAACAACAAAGCAATGCCCATCCTGCACTTGCTGAACAACAAGAAGTACCAATGCAGAGTTTGCATTGCTTCATATCAACTGTACAAGCAAAGACCCACAGAATGACAAAACATGCTTGAAGCTACTATCCATCCATACTACATCCATCGGGACCGCGTGGCCTTCTTTACTCGGAGCCTAAACCCTGAAGCGTCCTGCCAGCGCCTGGAGACACGGCTAAGTCTCAGCCCAGGCACATGCCCCCAAGCGAGTTCATGATCTTGCCTTTCTTGTATCCGCCCGAGAAGAGGGCCTCGTAGCCTCTGGTCGTGCCGCTATTTCTCGGATCAGCCGGACGCTGTTGGGCTGTTTTTGTCCCGGAGTCTACTTGACATGCTGGATCCAGTTTGGCATACTCAGGCCATCAAGGGCTCCCCGGCCGCGCTTTGCTAATAACCCCCACTGCTTCAGGTGTGTGCACACTTGGATACATGGTTTATACGTATGAATATCTGTGGCTGCATGTGCATAAGCATCTACGTATGTTCAGCTGAATCTATGTATGTCTGTGTTTATTTAATATAGATGCCCTACACTGCCACAATCGAGCTCGAGCTAGGTTCCTACCGGATTTCGGGTTTTGCACTTATGCTCCTTCACCAACAACTGAGAGCAGAGTCAGAAGGAGGAGAAAGCTTCTCGCTTGCGCTCACTTTGACTTCACCCACGGCCGTGGGATCCAACGATGTAGAGGAGACTGGTTTTAAGCCACGCGTCGCTGCAAGAGGACAACCTCAAAGGCCTACAACCCAGCCCCAAAACACACCCCGAATCCTGCACAGCCAGGTTCCCGAGCCTTCATCCCCATACCCCAAACCCCAAAGCCTAGTAGCCCACCCTGCAACCTTCAACACTCGCCTCTCAACCCTCTAGGCAAGCCACCAACTTCAAGCACCACCCGCTGCTGTGGATCCATGATCTTGGACTCCGCAGGCGTGATGGAAAACCTGTCTTCCGGCTTGTCGCATGTCCCAACGTTCTACCCCCTGTCCATAAGACGGTGACGGTCTTGATGGTGCTTGCTGCAGATGCTGCTGATGGTGGGTGGTGAGGAGGGTGAGGATGGGGGCGATGCTTTACAGCTGAGGACGTGCAGAGCGCGCGATGTTTAGATGGAGTGCGGTTGAGTGTTCAGTGTAAACAGTACACTAAAGTAACAGGGCAGCTAATCAAAGCACGAGACGGCGGTCAGGGCTAAGTCGGGAAATTGAGTTTAGGATTCGAGTCAGACCTGGGTTAGACGACGGACCGTAAGAAACCCGGAGGCCCCCTGAGCCGCCGGCATCTTGTTGTCGAACAGGTCGACACCATCAACGAAGGACATGTGCCTGGAACAACCCGAGATTGGCTCAAATTCGACTTTGTTGGGCCACCTTCAGTTTCTTGAGGACTTGAACCGTATCTGCAAAGCGCACCGGCGTTGGAAGCAAGGATTTGGCCGATGAAGGCTCAACACTTCGAACTCGAGGTTGGCTCATAACACCAAAGCCCAAATCCAGCCCCAAAACCTTGAACCTGCTACGAATATGCAAACGGCGCTGTCTCGCCATCGAACTTCGGGCCACGAAGGTGTCGGAAAACATCCGTTTGCCTCGAAAAAGTTCTGTACAAACGCCAGCTGTTGTCGTCGGGATCGTAGAACTTCTCGTGGTCCCATCTGCGCAAGGCAACGGGATCTCAATTGCGGCTAAACGAGGCATCGTGCTTTTTGCCGGGTCTCAAGACTGACTATTCAGGGCGCCGGTTGACTGGAAAGCGACTGAATGAACTCCCGGAGTGACAGTCCTCGCGAATGTTCGGGTCTCGGACAGTACTGCTACTGGCGTTGGCACTGGTGCCGGTACGGTCACTGTCACTATCACTGCCACACTCCTCCTCCTCCTCCTCCTCATCTGTACTACACTCTGAACACAGTACACAGCAGTTCAAGGTTGTCTGAAATTCAAGCGCAACCCTAAACCTAACAGGATCTGAAGCTCTTTACGCGAAACAGGTTTGGGCCATGGATGCTCTCTTTCACAACAGACCAGACCGTCGACGTCATCAGGTGTCTCCATGGATGCAGTCCACTCAGAACGAATTGGACCATTGAAAAACATGAAGCAAGAACAGTGGAAACACTGAATCTTCGGATGCACCAAAAATACAGAAAAAAACGCCGCAGCGATCCAATAAACACAAAAACGAACACTCACATCTGATTCCGGGCTGCCGGCCATGTCTGAAAAAACGTGTTTAAGCAAAACACAAACACATGGTGAGTCTTAAGCGCCACATGTTGTAAGCTCCAGCATGTTCGGCTCTCGAACAACGTAAAACGACAGAAAATAGAGAAAGGCTAGCGTTTCACCCTGCGCTTTAGCAATTCTGCAAAATCAACGCAAAAATGCTGGAAGTGAACAGCATGTGCCACGAAAGAAACTGGCTAATGGTGATGGTTGTCTCTCGCACCGAGAGAACCCCGCTGCTACTACTCCTCCTCCTGCTGCTGCTCTCCTCCTTTTCTTCTACTTCTTCTATTTCTACTGCTACTGCTACTTCTACTCCTCCTCCTCCTACTACTCCTACTCCTACTCCCACTCCTACTTTTACTCCTACTCCTACTCCTACTACTACTTCTTCTACTACTACTACTACCACCACCACTATGACGACTATGACCACGGCCACTACTACTACTACTACTACGACGACGACGACGACGACTACTACTACTACTACTGCTTCTACTACTGCTTCTACTTGTGATTCTTGTGAGTCTTCTGAGTCTTCATCAAGATGTGCAGGACTGGCCCACCAGGATGACCCAGCTCTCGGGCCGGGGCCCGAGTAACTTCTGCGAACAAGCTACAGCACCTCTTCGAAACGAAACGATTTTCCTCCCATCTTACCAGCAGTGACATTCTTCTGTTCGACCATGGGCTGGGCGAGCCATGTGAACACAATCCTGGTTCGGGGAGCCTCATCAACGGAACCTCCTGCATAGCGTCCAGGCCGCTCGCAGCACCTTGGAGCTCACCCAGAAGCTTTGCGGTATAGCCGCTAGACCCAAACCCTAAACTCCAACAAGAAAATATACAAGAGCAGCGTCCCTCAACAGGCTGGGCTTCTGAATACATTTCTGAACTGTAGATGGTTCGGTATGCTTTTTAACCCGAAACTCCTACAGCCTGTTGCGCCAAAGCCCTGCAAGCAGAGATTAAGGGGTCAAGCAAATCCTACCAGCGAGATCCTGTAACTCAATGCTTGGCAGAACCCTAGCGGATCACTGCGTTTAGTTCGTGGCTTCAGCTCGTGAGGTACAGCTCTATGCTTCTAGGCTTCTGAAAGCGAGTCCCTCACTGATTTACTTGACATGGAACCTGGAACACTGAAAATACTTTCAATGGTGGGGCTTAGATGGGCTTCGGCCATCACATCTTCAGTCCCTCGATGGTGCAGGAAGGAGACATCTAGGGTGTGGCGAGGGAAGCCGTGGGATCGGGGCTCTTAGAGCTTAATGTTGGGGCTCAGATCCAGGGTTGTGGAGCCTGAGGTCGTCCGCACGCGCATGCGATCGAAGCGAGTTGTTTCTAGCGGGCCTTGCGCGAGTGCTACTACGAACACTACTTGCTTGTCAAGTCAATACTACTGTTACTACTGGCCTTCTCTATTTTGCAGCGAGATCTCGTTGTTGCAAGTCATTACACAAAATCCCACAGGCAAGGTTGCTGACAAGCACTACCGTCCCGAATCGCTTTCACAAAAATCACCTTCACCCTCTGCCTGATGGTTCAGCCTGATGCTTGATCTGCCATCTACCTTCAGGAATTAAGCAGTGGCGGGCGAAGAGCTGATAGCTGATGGCCGCAGGTTCTCTGGACCAGGCCCGAAGGTTTAGTGGCTCAAGGTTCGGCAGGCACACAGCCGGACTTGTTTTCCGCAGCTTCGATCGCATTCCACTTCTCATCTCTACTCATCCTTCTTGATGGCCTTTGGCAGAGACATGTACACCGCAAAAACGATGACCTCGCGGTGCAACATAAAGCTTTTGACACCTTATCTCCGTATCCTGGACCCGACAGCAACAACCGAAGAGGCAAGATCAAGATTCCTCCACAGTTTGGTTGGGGGGGCACGATGCTTACATGGGCGTAGAAATTGCAGATCAGCTCAACTCGGGTCTCAAAGTTTCTGATGCGTGGAGGTCTCGAGTTTCTGGCGGCTTCCAACAACTGGAGAATGGAGGTTTAAGTCAAGCGGAGGAGTGTGGAGAGAGCAAAGGCTCATGGAATCGAGCTTGGGCGAGCAGAACCCTCACATGGGAAGAAATGCAAGCGGATCCAGTAGTAGCACGTTCTCAGAACTCCTGGAACTGAATCTGCTTTGGGGTTCATAAAACTCCATATTAAGCCACAAGAGTCATGTCGCACGTCTTTGAAGGACGTGATGCTCCAACCCCGACGAATCGTGGAAGAGTTGCTGCCATGCCTAAGCCTCAAGCCCCGAACTTTACGAAGCCTGAACAACGCTCAGCCATGCCTGGTCGCAGATCTATGAGTCTGGAAAATCAACGAAATCGGTCACCTAGTCCAAACCTGAACGTCAACAAAAGCCCCCTGAAACCTGCAAGGAGGCCGACTAGAACCACCTTCGACAGCCAAGTAGCCATCATGACGCCGCAAAGGCCCATTACTTGCTGCAACTCTGCTGCCCGGTGCGGGAAGCCGGCCTCATCTCAGGTCTGACCACTGTCAGCGCAGGTACTGGAAACGCAGTTTACCATAAAGGGCTCGCCATGCCTGCATCGTCACCAAGGACACACCATCACCAGAACAGCACTCTAACCACCAACTTCACCAGAAACAATGACAACCAACATCTTCTTCGTCATCCGATTGCCGTGATCATATCAAGCCACCCAATTCGCAGCCATTGTCAGCATGATTACTCGCATCAACGCCCCATCATCTCCTTGTACTGTAATCACTGCCACCATCATCATAATCATCACCACCACCGCCCACCACCACCACCACCATTATCACCATCATCATCGCCATTAACAACATCAACATCAGCATCACAATCATCATCATCATCATCATCATCACCATCAGCGACAACATCAACATCAACGTCAAACCAGCATCATCATCATCACCATCATCATCACTGTAATTATCACCAGCACCAGCACGTACCAGCACCATCACCACTATGATCACCACCATCATCCTTGTCATTCTCACGATCATCAACAACATCATCACCATCATAATCATCACCATCATCGTCATCATCATCATTCAGCAGCGGCCGCAGCAGCAGCAGCAGCCGTAGCAGTTGCCGTGATATCACCGGTATCGACATGAAAATCCACGCTAAGACAATCAGCTTGCAAACTGGTGCTCTATCTACAGGCGCAACGGGACGCCTAGGGTCCAACCCACTTTAAAACTGGGTGTTAAGTGTTCCTTTCGATTCGATCAAATTGATTTCGGCCGCCTTCCTCTTGAGCCGAATGTTCCCCGCTTTTTGTGGCTCACCTAACTTCCAAAATTGATTGCTCAGACCTGACAGCCTCTTGTCAACTTGTGCATCCCAACCCTCCCATCTGCAGCTCCAGCATCCAACAGCGTATAACCCACGTGAACGAAGCCCAACCAGAAGAGCATCACCAGCCTCAGGTCAAAGGAACGAACGAGTGCTTTAGTGACACCACGCGTCGATGATCAAAGTGCTTTTCCTCTGATAGGTTTCGGTAGCTGCTTAGTTCATCACTCGCTCAGGCATCAAGCAGGTTGATTATTCAGAGTCCCTTGCCCCTACTGCCTTTTCCTACTCCATGCGCTTCACGAGGGCTGTCGTTACTAGCTCAGATCGCAAATCTGATGCGAGGGGTGTTGGACCGCAGACGTGGCTTGACGACGCCTTGTGGAGGCCTTTCCGGATCCGACCAATTCGGTACCTCATGCCAGCAGCCTTCGATCAGCCTTGGGCATCTCAATCCTCCACGTGGGCAGAAACCCTCTGCAAGCCATCGATTCTACTCCCGGCTCTGTCATGCCCTCATTGCAAACCTTACTCTAGCAATGCTGAGCATCGGAAAACAGTTTGCAATCCCAAAATGGCGTTCCGCCAGACACAGACGCAAGCCCGGGCCCACATGGGAAAAATGCTGTCACCAGGTTTGGATGCAACTCAAACCTCCGGCTCTCACTGGAACCAAAGATTCGCCAAGGGGCGTTAGTGCCCGCTTTGCAGGCTTCAAGAGCGACAACCTAAACCAGGGTTCGGGATTCAGTTTTTGAACGCCGAGCTCTGCAGCCTGGGCTTAAAGGAGTTA